CCAAAATTTGGATGATTTTGAATATTCACTTGAAAAGTTATCAAAGAAAAACATTTTTCATTTTGTAACTTCGAGGGCCCGTTACTTGGTAACGAAGGATTTTAGGAAAAAAAGTTATATGAAGTACTGGTGATATTTTGACCCCATCTATACATTCCCGAGAGGAAAAGAGGAAGTCCAGGGACACCCTGTATAGTGTGAACAGTAAGTCTGCATCATTTGTAGTTTTTATTGATAGCTTTATGTTAAATTTGACTCTGGCATTTTATTACATTACATAATTTATATGATATAAAAGTTTACCGCGAGATTTACACACACACATAAGTCAAGCCACAAAAAGACTGAGAAAGCTTATTTACACCTTCTCCTTCTATAACCTACGAGATATTCTAGACAGGAAGAATTTGAGAATGTGTTATACATCTTTAGCTGAGTCGGTAATACGGTACTGTATGATAGCTTGGGGAGAAACATTTCTTAGTACAATGACTTGCATACAAACAGTGCAAAACACTTTATTAAAAATAATATTTAAGAAACACAAATTGCATGCAACTGATTCTCTATATAGTGATACCAAATTACTAAACATCAGATCCTTATATACTTTCCAAAGCCTGATATTGTTTTATTCAAACATTGAAAAATATGGCCAATGTAAATCCAAAGTAAGTAGATTCACTGAAAAATTACAACTACCATTGTTTCGCAAGACTCACACTCAAAGATTTGTTTTCTTTTTTGATCCAAAACTCTACAATATGCTTCCAGCACAAGGTGCTTCCAGCACCTCTGAAAAATATCAACTCTTCCCGAATTCAAAAAAAATTAAAATTATACCTTGCTGAAAATGCAACAATATTTAATAATATCTTTTGAATCCCCTAGTACAAAACTGACACAAATTTTTCATATAATACGAAAAATTCCAAGGAGTATTCATTCATGAAATACCCGCTCTCACTCCTTTCTTTGGTCCATTGCATTTACCTTCTCTCTCCAATATATTATATCACCCATAATATGAAAACTTTTCGTTTTATTCTCTATAATCGTAAGGATTAATTCAAATTGAGCGAATAGGCACACTACAAGCATATTATATGCTTAGGTGTAATTCTCGACTTATTGATGAATTCAAAATAGCACATAAAATAGTTATTCATGTAACCTAATTATTCAACTTGCACTCTTTGCTGGTAATAATATAGGTCTGGTCTGTTGTCAGACGTCAAAATAATTTAGTAAATAGAGTTGTGTAAATTCATATTTCATGAAGAACAATTTTTTTTAGAATTACTTATGTTAAGTTACTCTCTGTGTCCTTTTTTCTACATAGGTAAATATCGCGACAAGCTTTCATTCGTATAAATTGTGTGGCATAATAAATTGATATTTGGTTATATTTAATTGAATATGTTTCTTTTACTAGTAGTTCTTTTTTCAGTTATCACTAAACATATTCCTTAGTCTGTTCATTTCATTTGATGCGTCACTGTTGGATGGTCGGTCCCTACAACATTTGCTAGAGCACCATCAAACTACCGAGTTATATTTTTATTAAATTGGTATAGCTGTCATCTTATTTCCGTCACTTCGAATAATTTTCCTTTTGAACACTTTCAATTGTACCTAAATTATGGGGGTGTATAAAAAAATTATATTGCCATGTACGCACTTATTGAATCTTGACTACATTATGGAATACCTTTTTGGGGAGCATGCAATTCATCCCTTCTCTCTTCTGTATTGATATTACAGAAGAGGACACTAAGATGTCTCTGTAAAGTCAAACCCACAGAATCGTGTAGGAACTTGTTCACTGCCAATCAAATTTTAACAGTCATCGCACTTTTTATCTTAGAGACGGTTTACCTTATTTATAAACATAAATCGAATCCATCATCGACCTAAAGTCAATGATATCCCATAATTGAAAATTGAAATTCTTTCAGAGTATTTCATACCTCGTCTAAAGTTGGAGCGAACATCCAAAATTTCACTCCATTTAGTGGACGAGGTACTAACCAACTGCATATTTGAAATTTGCCCGATTTCTCTGAATAAGGAAGAGAAACTTTCTTATTAGCCAGTGGGCTATGCTTGAAGACAGGCAGTAAACAAATCTAAAGAAATGAACTTTAAATATTCAAGCTCGTCTCGGATATACCTACACAGTAGTTTGAATGGACTGACGCCTATCAGGAAACAACTAGTTTCTATGAAAGGTCATTCAATCCATCATGCACATCTTACCTTAAATCAGGCATACCTGCCATATTTTGCTGGAGAAGAGGATGACGTCATGATTCGATCCGATCTAATAGTGCTTTAATTAGGTATTTCAGTACCCGAAGAAAATGAATTGCGCCTTAATCAGTATTATTATTAATAAATGTGAATTGAAATGGCAGTAAAACAAATAAGCAAATGTGCTTAAACTGTTGATGAAGATTATTATTTTTAATGTATATGACGCACTCATACACCAAAATCCTGCTAGAGGAAATGAGTGAAATGAAGCTGTGAAATCGTCACAGATAAAGCTTGGAGTCTAGCCTGGACGCTTTTCAATCTATTACGATAATCGGCAAAATGGGTTGCTAATCTTATATGAGTAAATAACCACATCTTTTTTTCAACAGGTACATTATAAATACTAATGAGTGACTTCATTATTTCAACAGGTGTTTTATGTAATTTATCCACATGTTCTACATGAATTATTTGAAGATTTGACTTCAAAATACTTTTCATGTCTCCAAGTTTTATTCCTCGTTTGGGTGATCTGGCCCTATCATCCTCTCTGTGAACCTCAAAGTGTAAGGTTGTAGCAGAGGCAGGTATTTTTCTGTCAGCAATACAACAGTCAGCTAATCCAAACCCATTGTCTTTGCCACCCCAGTTCTCTGCCAAATATTGTAATCTTCAAATATGGCATTCCTTTTCATCTGGTTTCAATCTAGTAATAAAGTTACTTCTCTTTGAGAACATATTATAAAGTAAATTTAAAACTTCCAAAACAACTGAAATATCATTCAAGCAGGACCAACAGATGTTCCATAGAATTATACAGGCGCCGAGAGAAAGAATGTTTGATCAACAAACTGGTGAACCTGAGCCCAGTGCAATAACTCGCACTTTCCAAAAGTCCAAGAATGAATACTGGATGGCTCGTCTAATAATTCTGTTCGTGAACATTGTTGTAGACGTTCTATCTACTGCTGACATTCTAAAGGTACTTCTGAAGTACTTTTACATTCTCTAGATCTGTCTATTTTCATTTTTATGAATTTTGGACATCTACTTCATATCGAGAATCAGCTTATGAAAAACGTGGATTACAGTAAATACACTGAGGAATCATAGGCAGATAAAAGTTTATTGTTTCCTCATATTGTTTCAAAAAATGTGTAGTACAAAATGAACCTAACATTAGGACCTGAAAATAAATGTATCAATCCAAAGTGGTTCCGCTAGTTTAAGAGAGGTTCATACTAAGGTTCTTTAATTGACTCTATCATTTCAAACATTTTTTCATATTTATACTTACCTCTTCAGTTCCTTTTAATGTTTTTGTGCATGCTAAATATTCACATAGAATATCCTGTGTCTTCCGAGCATTCTCAACAAATTTATGAAGAGTTTCCACTTTTTCTATACAACTGGAGCAAACTATATGTGGCAATTCATCATTCTCCGAGACCTGTAAATGAAATCATAATCAGAGTCAAAATTGTAAAATGATTGATTTGCATATTTATAACTCTAGAAGTTCCTCAAGGTTTTGTTCTGGGAACACTGTTATTCTTCAACTTCATAATGACCAGCCTGAATTCTTTTCTGAATATCACCACAATTATTATGTTAAAAAAATTAAGCAGAGTTATCAGAAAAAATAAGTATAACAGTAGATGAATTCAGTAGTTGGGTAACAAACTTATTCTGAATTAATGAAAATCTATTTCAATAAAAACATTTATTGAAAGAAAATTCAACAGTGATTCATGAACAACTGATCTTCAATCACCCAACATGGTTATGTTTTTGGGAATGTCTTGATAATTCGAATTGTACTAATTTAAGGAAGGGCGTTTGGCCGGTTTATTAGGTAATATTAGGTATCATAACTAATAGTTATATGCATAACAATTAAGTATTGAGTTACAATAACAAGCTAATAACTTCAATGATCCGAAGGTAATGGTTTGTCCAAATGTATATAAAAGCAGTTACTTAGTCTTGTTTGTGTTTGTCATCTCCTGGTGACCTAACCTAACATAACTTGATGAGCAAAACACGCATCGAGAGACAATGATCTAGATTGTTGTGTATAAGATAGTATTTGCATTAGATTAATTTTAGGTCAGAGGTTCAAATTCTACCCACCAACATTAATCCATTCCCAATTTGAATAGCATTTTTTGGATCTTGCCTCATACCAATAATGAGATGTGTAAAATTCAATTCCAAATTGAAATGTATGTTATCTAGTAACTGTATTTACAACTTACAAGAATTTACTCAGTTGATCGCTGAAAATCAGCATTTGTTCATGGATAATCACAGTGATTGAATATAATTTCCCATTTTCTTGTCACGGTATATATTCATACATTTATCTATATTTCATTCATTTGACATCTATACATTTCACATTATATATATATATATATATATATATATANTTCTTTCTTCGTTATCATCAGCTGTATAATAGTGTACTACTACACAGTGATTTAATGAAAGAAAATTAACAAAAAATTTTCAAGAAACGTCTAGGCCCAGATGCACCTGAACAATTACAGTAATCACCCTCTAGAGTTATATGTCAAATCGATATAATTCATTCAACTCACATCTTTTTGAAGAATGTGTTAAAAGTTGAAAAATGCAGGAATTAAATAGAATCCTATTAATTAAAACCTCTATTTATCAAATTTTATAATATTAAAAGTGAATTTGTTTCAGTTCCTAATGTATATAATGCACTGGGTTCACTCTGAAGGAATATATCAGAACTCCTCACACATTTGTGATACATGTAAATGTAGTGACGGTAACTCATTCATAATGGACTGTTCTGATCAAAATTTTCAACATGTGCTGGCAAATTGGCCTATAAATAATAAGAGTTTGATAGCTAAGTTCAGCAATAATAATTTAACCACTCTACAACTTCTTCCTACCAGCAATCAGAGAGCAAAACTGGTTTTTGATCACTGTAAGATAAAATATATAGAAGGTGGTGTTTTCTCCAACATGAAAAATGTCGAATTCATAGATCTCAGCTACAATTTTTTAACAAGTAAGTATTACTCAATTGGAATCTGAATTACGTGATATCAAAATATAAAATTTCTACTTGCATTGCAGAATAACATTTTATAGAATTTGAGACCCATTAGATTTCAAACAATTAAATTTTGTCTTAGTTTTGTAGCCGTAGTTAAGTACCAGAAGTGTGGAATTTTAACCTCTGACGTTATAGTTACCTCTTTCTACACTTTCTAAATGGAATATAACAATTGTTTGCAATTTATACGATACATTCATATGTACAGAAAGGAAGAAGATATTAAGGAATATTTAAGTTATAGAATCAATATTTTTTACATTCATTTATTCAAAAATTTGAATGAATAGTAATTTCATTAAAATATGTATTATTTGATAATGAATACTTGTGATGCACTGTTTGGAACCTTCGGTGTAGTAATGAATATTACTGGACTTTTATCCCAACACCAAACCGTTATTTTCAACACCTCGACACGTGTTTCAATCACCAAGTGATCATCTTCAACAGGAAGGTTAAACTGGATCGAATAGTTTAATCTCCCTCTTGAAGATGATCACTTAGTGAGCGAAACACGTATCGAGGTGTTAAAATAACGGTTTGGTGTTGGGATAAATCTCCAGTGATATTAATAACTAATGAATATGGGGAAATGAAAAAGTATTTCATTTTAAAATTAGGAATATTCAATTTTAGTTTTGAGTAATGTGATATGTTCCCAAAGTAATTCCCTGTCATGAAGAACATTGAAGGGTAATGTTTTTTTAGCCGAAGAAATTGACGGAAATAACTTCAAAGGACCTTACAACAATTCCAAATTTCATCCATTACCATCACTAAAATACCTGAATTTAGCTTATAATCAAATACACAGTTTACCTAGGAAATTTTTTGAGAACATGCCTAATTTGGAAGAACTCAATTTGGAGGGAAACGACTTTACAGTGCTAGATCCTCAAACACAGCTGTCCATAGGAACCCTGACTAGATTAACGGTAAGTACTTTATTAAACGAAAAAAGTAATTTTTTTCTCTGAAAAACATAATTCCAACCAGTTTATACTTGAGTATTGTTATGTTTACTACTATAGATTTTGTTCCTGGCCAAATCAACAGTCTAATTCAGAGTGAACATCTGACTAACTGGGTAGAAAAATATTTAAAATAATTCTGAAATATTTGCCTCATTTTCATTTCTCCACGAATTGTTTCCAAAAATAAATATCTTTTAACGACATCTAGCAATTAGATTCTCGTATTCAACTTCATTTCTATTGGGAAGATGTATACCAAATACGGTGACGGTTTTTCCCATTCTTTCAACCACAGCTATTCTCTTCTTACTCCCTCACAACATCTTTTTATTCATAACATACATCGATCACACGAGTATTCTGTAAAACATTTAAAATTAAAGGGGATTGGACGTTTATTTTACTGGTAGATGATCTAAAATAGTACTAATCCTTCAAATTTGACGTTTTAGGTATTGAATCTGGCTAATAACGAATTGACAGAAGTGGAGGGAGAGGCCCTGAGAAATTTGAGTAATTTAAAAAAAATAGATTTGTCCTCTAACCAACTAGATTTTGTTCCCGAAAGTTTGGAATATTTGGGTAATAAACGGGAATAATACAAAATTCGATCTCTTTCATATTTCCGAGGATATTCTTAGAAATAAATTAAGATATACTCATTCTTAAATTGCAAGTATCTGTCATTTACTTTTATTCTCGCTTCATTTCAATTCTCTACTATAACTGTTTAAATTGTTATTAAATTAAATTAGATAAGATTAGTGTTAACAATCTGATATTTGTATAACTTATATTAAATGGGAGTTACCCGTGAATAAATACCCTAGAATGTAACTGTTTATTATTTCATTTATTTGGTTTTTATTCTCGTCCAAGCAAAGATCTCGTTCAGAAGATGAAGTTCCTATATTTCATTTTATAAATTTCATTTTTCAATTTTATTTATTTACTAACTGAAGTTGAATTTTTGAGGAGGATCTGGTGAGGATAAGAGTAAGTCTAATTTATATTCAAAGAGATCTATCTGTTTAAAATGTGTTTTTCCATTAACCAGCTGTCACTTCCCTACGAACGACAACTCCCGAAAGTCGAAACTTGTGTAAGCTAAAGACTATTGAGGTCTTACCTTTTAACGTGCGATTCCTAATACGGATTGGACGATGAGAAGTGAAAATCGATCATCCGGCCTCGCGGCTTGAACCACCGGTTCATCCCACCAGGCTACCGACCCACCACACAAAGTTGAAAATTAATTTATATACAGGGTGGGGGTTGATTTTCTACCGACTAAGTATTTCGACTTATAGATCTTTTGATATTGTCAACAATTTTTAAAATGACGGAGTCACTGTAACAGTTGTTTTCAATCGCGTAAATTTCAGGTGGTTAAGTAAATTCATAGCTGGCCACGAATTTGATGATCATTTTTGGAGCCGCTTATTGTAAGGTGTCGCGCATGGTTGAAACAAATCCATGACTAGAACTCACACTAGACTTCGCACTGATTCAGATACTCCTTAATATAGTGTCACTATTTTTCGGGTTCGAAGGCCGTGGATTTTTGAAATTTCTTCAATGACTGAACATTACGGTTTCGCAACGCGATGGATTAGGTAATTTGTCGTTAACAGTCATTAACTCTTTTCTACTCGATGTCATGAACTTCTTAGAACATCTTGATCAATTATGAAAATATTGTTACTTACAAATGTGAAATCATGTAATTCTTCGAAACCTAACATTTTCATTTTTATCAGTATTTACCCAGTTATAATCGCCGAAGTGATAAAAGAGATAAGATATAACATGTTGTTAGTTGGTGCCAAAAAGGTGTGGTGTGAATGAACAATGAATACGATAGAAAAATTTGAAAAATGTATATTTGTGAGTAAAAAATACAGATATGTTAATTTTCACATGCTGAAACAAAAAAAAGCCAAGACAAATTTGAATAAGAAAATAAAGTAGTGATATAAAAATAAATAAATATAATCCTTAGGAAATGAGGTGATAACAGAGATGAAATATGAAATGGTAGGGGGAAAAAAACATCAAAATGAAATATTTGGATTTGTTGAACTCAGAAAGACAGAGAAATGAACGAACTGAAATATTTTGTCCATAACAACACTGGTTTTCCTCTAATCAGAAATTCAATAGAAGAGTTTATTTGTGACATACTGTTTAATCTTTCTCTTGAAGATGAGCACTTGGTGATCAAAACACTCAGTAGAGTTTATGTTAACTAGTATGTTCATATCAAATTATATGCACAATTTCTAATATTACCTTTATTTCGGTTATCATAATTTAATATTTAAAAATCGGCGAAATTGAAATGATCTTCAAATAAAACAAAAGTTAACTGGAGAATTCGAAAAAGTTGCGTGTTAATATTATGTTTTGCCGTAGACAAAGTATACAGGGTGTTCCAAATTAAGTCGGCACCATTGCCAACTCCCTTATTATTGATGCTACGAATTGGGTTCAATGGGCAAACTAGTAGCATTTTTAATCGCCTTCTCGATTCCGAAAACAAAAAAATTGACAGTCGCGTTTTGAAAATATTTCATAAAATGATATTTTTTTAAAATGGAACACCCTATATTCTATCATGAATTTCGATTAGTAAGTAATAACATTCTCAACAACAAAGCTAATATCACCTTTCTTTCTAAAGTTAAAAATGAGCGACTTATGTGGAAATATTTATTTTTTTCACTAGTACAAACATTTTCTTTGTTTTGACAAATAAAATCTCATGATTGTTCAAACACCCAAAAAGAAAAAATTGCGCTGGGATTTGAACTCGTAAAACCCGTGATCATTATGTCGTACCACTTGACACCACTGAGCTATTTGGTATTAATTTACAAAACGATAATTTCCATCTTAAAGCCGTTCCACTAGCCGTATTTATTTTGTGCAAGGCCGTAGCCAGGAGGGGATCAAGGGGGACTGATCCCCTCCGAAAGTTCTACAAGCAGCGGCTATCCAAAAATTATATAAAAAACAATGTTTGGCTTGTTTGAACATCACAGGAGCATGAGAATAACCACCAACCGCGGCAATGGAGTTAATTACTGGTCTGTCTCCTCTGGACCTGTACGTTAAGGAGGTTGCGTTAATGGCCATGTTACGATTGCACACGGCTGGTGTAAACCTTAGTAGGAATGGGTCGAATGAAGCGAGAAGCGCTTACAGCGCAACCTCTGCTGCAGGCAACCAGTGATGCAATTGTACCAAGGTTTGTGTTTAATAAACCCTACAAAATAAAAATCAGATGCTACAAATGCAATACGCATATATACAGATGGCTCGAAAACCAAAGAAGGCTCAGGATATGGAGTGTACTCCAGATCACTAAGCCTTAGGATTAAGTGGGGAATGGGAAAAATACCAGCGTAGTTCAAACAGAACTGGCTGGTATCTCAATTGCCACAAAAGAAATAACCAGGAAAAGAATTTCTGGCAAAAAAATAACAATCTGCACTGATAGCAGACGCCTAGAACAGACATGTTACCTCAGGCCTAGTACTAGAGAGTACCACCAAGATTTAGCCAAAGCCTCGGTAGATAATAACATTATCCTGAGGTGGATTAAAAGGCACGACAGGAGTAAAAGTAATCGCCGACTCTTTAGCCAAGGAAACGACCGGACTTAGAATTTTAGGACCCAGTGGCACCTACGGTCTGATGACTTCGAATGGAACTAGCCAAATGTTATACCCACACTCAATCCCTAAAGAGATGGGATGAAATCAAAGGATACAATCTTACCAGGATCACCCTGGGGGACCCTGGGACGCTGGCGCCGAAAAAATATCTAGCGATGACCAGGAAAAATCTACGCTTAACAGTAGGGTTTCTGACTGGCCACTGTCAACTAAGAAAACACCTCCATAATATAGGGATACTGGACACATCTCTATGCAGGATGTGTGAACAGGAAGATGAAACTGTCAGGCGTGTCCTATGCGAGTATCGTCGAGGAGTTATGGTCAATGAGAGAGTGTGTGTTCGGCGAGTCTTGGCCTACACCTGCTCTTAGTGACCTGTCCAGTGTATGGCACGAAGGCCTTCTGCATAAACTAATCGCCTTCGACCTGCCTCGAGGCCTGATCCGGTGGATTGGGCCTTTCCTGAATGACAGAACATTTCAGGTTAGAGTAGAGGACAACAGAGAGATCCTCGCTGGAGTGCCGCAGGGGGCCATGCTCTCCCCTACGCTGTACTCACTTTACACCAGTGACCTCCCGAGGCCTGAGCGTGTAAATATATATCTGTACACCGATGACACGGCTCTCCTCTCATCTTCCATGGGTCGAGAGTTCGGTGTCGTCTACTTGCAACGTGCATTGGACGACCTCGAGCGCTGGTACCTCAAATGGAAGATCCGAGTGAACCCGGACAACACTAAGGCGAATATTGAAATCTTCTCCGGCCAGAAAAGTGAGGATCTCTGGAAGGGAGATCGACTGGCAAGCGCGGTAAAGTTACTCGGCCTTCTAATAGACCGTAGGCTCACCTGGAACCCGCACATCACAACCATGAAGGCAAAGATTGAGGGTCGGATCAAAAGTCTGTACCCTCTGATCAACAGACGTTCTAAATTGAACCTAAAGAACAAGATTACGATCTATAAAACGATGTTCAAGCATGTCATCATGTATGCTTCAGGCGTCTGGGGACAAGCGGCTCCGTCTAATATCTCCATTCTGGAGAGATTGCAAAATAAGTTAATACGGATGATAGTGAATGCTCCATGGTTCCTACGGATGAGGCCATCCGCAAAGATTTGCAGCTGCCTTTCATTAAGCAGTCCATTCAGTCGAGGAATCGGCAAGTCTTTGATTGCGCATAAACCCACGATAATCCGTTAGTTAGGGGAACTATGGATTATGCTGTAGACGACCCCTCCCGATATAGAAGACCCAGACACTCTGTCGAGTGAGGCTCTCATGTCCTCCGTTAAAAGTTGAACAATATCTTCATCCAAACATCCCAGCCAGGTAGGGATCCACGTGAAGGGCAGTACTGATGTCAGTGGACATTCATGCCGCCATCCCATAAATCAGTCTTGACCCGTTTGTTTCTCTGACGAATATCAGTCGAAAGGGCAAGGGAGCCAGGCTCCAACCTGTTTTAAGCCATGATGACACGAACAAGGGACCTGCCCACCTTCCTGGAAAGGACAGGATCGACGATGACCTAGGAGGACAACTCCTTAGGAGGATGTACAATGGGTCGCATGTGGCCTAAGTGCTGTGGGCCTACACTCACCCTCCCCACTCTACAGATACTATGAGAATTATAAAATCCGTTAGAAATTCTATCAAGTCCTTGGCAAAATGAACCAAGTATTTGAAAGAGAATATTGAAAAAAACTTCCCCGAAACACAATGGAAAAACCTTACGGCAATGTGCGTACAAACTTTCAAAGATCTTGGCGACACAACCTGTTTCCACATGTACCTCTGAGAGGACTTTCTCTTCTTTGAAACGCCTCAAAACTCCACAAGCCAGGAACGACTAAACGGTTTGGCGTTGATGTCAATCCACCGTAGAATTGACATCGACACCAAGGAGGTAATTG